CGCTAGTTAGCTTACTCTCGGTGGTTTATTTCCACATCAGATTATCTGGGGCTTATTTTCAGTGCAGCTAAGCCCGGCCTGATATATATGGTCATCTTTAAAGGTACATGACTAAAGTCTTAAATAAATACTCTATTTTTAGATGTTGATATACGCGTTGTAGAAGATAAAGTAAAAAAGAACTCCGCATAATCTCAAAAAATAAAGAGTAGAGAATTTGATACTTTATATTCAAAAAAGAAAAGAAAAAGCAAACTAGTCCCTCCGATCCATATTAATTGATGTACACTTAGTGTAGTACTATAAGAGTTGGGCGCGCTTTGCTGCGTCCTTGATGTCATTGGATTTTTGTTTTTTGACTCCATCTATTTCAAAATATAAGGTGCATTAGTTTTTTGAAATGTCAAACCTCTTTAAGTTTGACCACATTTTTGTGGAAATATATCAATATCCATAATGTCAAATCGGATTTTTAGATTCATTATGCAATGAATTTTCATATTTCATTTATTTAGTATTGTGTATATCAATATTTTTGGCTCCAAACATTGTCAAAGTTAAAAGAATTTGACTTTTAATAAACTAATACACCTTATATTTCAGAACAGAGGGAGTATTTGATTTGGTTAGTGGGGAAGATGATGGAGTGTGTGTTTTTTATTCATATAATGCGGTGTTTTGATAGGCCTTTTGTCGTGTGATTTTGTGCTATCGATTAATCAACTCATACTTATGTGGGGAATTTTCCGCGTTCATGGCAGCATGTACTATATTGCTGCTACAATATCACATGTTGTCACGTCTTTTGTCTAAGTGATGCGGGTGCGCGGGATTGGTATGGTTTTATGGGCCGGTTGCTTTTGATTGATTTAAAAAATTGTTGACCCAGTCAAAATCATGACCCAAATTCGATATTGAACTTCTCATTTGAATGAAAGAGCTCCAAAATAAAAGAGCATTCTCAATTAAAAGAATTGAGTGGTAGATTGTTGACTCGGTCAAAATCGGTGATCCAAATCTAAATTGGTTACCTCAATTGAATGAGAGGCCTCTAAGAGCAACTCTAGCAGACCCCGCATTCGGCCCCGACCCGCAAAATAACCGCCAAAGTGCGGGTAGGGCAAAAAAACCTGCCCGATCAGACCCGACATCCCGCCTCGGCCCGCAAAAAAATTTGAGGGGCGCAGCAAAATATCGGCCCCAACCCGCGAATACGCGGGTTTCTATCTCGCCGCTGCGGTGCCCCGCATCATAGAGAAGCAGTTGGCGGGAGGGACATTTCAGCCCTCCTTCCGCCTCGGCCCGCAAA